TTGTGTCCAAATAATGCAAGCGCTGGGGTTTTAAAGGCAGAATAAGTGATGCTTGAGTTGGGGAAGGGGGATTTTAAACACGAGTTTGACAGGAGAGACACCCAAGGCTGCAGGAGCTGTTGTGCCCAGGCTGGGAAGAGAGATGTGCTCTGGACTGCAGTGAGGCTGCATGTGGAGGCAGCAGAGGATGGAGGAAACGGGGAATCCTCCTTGCTTACCCTGGCATTAGCCGCTTGTGTTTATCCCTCGTCCACCCCCTCAGTGAATGTAAATAGGAACTGGTCTAACTCTGCTGCGAGCCCTTCCACTGCCCCCTTGCAAGCTGCAGCACTCAGCAAACAGTATAATTTAGCACCTTTCTTCCCTCCCTGTCCACATATATACATAGCACTTCAAGCATGGCTCTAATTTTGAATCTGAAGGAGGTGTGTATTAGCTGGTGAGTAGCAGGCTTGCCCTACATGTGTATGCACTGAAGCATATGTAGCATCACTGAAACGTTTAATTTTTAGGTCTTGGGTCTCACCTGAAAAGATGCCATTTTGGAAGTGCAAATAGTAGTGAGCTCAAAGGATGTAGTAAAGGAAACAGCCATTTTGGGGACTTCATGATAATGATAACCAGCAGGCCAATTGCAGATAAATAAATGGACACACTTTTCAAAAACAGAAAGGACCCTGTGTGCCTGCAGAGGAAGCGACACGTACCTGAGCACTTCAATCATTGGTATAACACAAAATGTATGTGTGATTGCCCATGCCTACCCACATTGTGCAGTATTTCTTACCAAATGTTTTCTGTCCCTTTGATTTTTTTTTCCCCCCCATGTCCTGGTTAAGATGAATTTGACAGCACCAATTTTAGGACATACTGTTTCTTTTCCTAGCCTTCCGAGGCAGCTCTGTGTCTGGTACAATTGCGTGGGAAGGTACAGCTTTCCCCTGAAATACTGGAACGAATCAAAAATACAATAGCTGCAAATGAGTGTGGAGACTGGAAAACAGTTACAAATAGGCTGGCAAGATAAGATGAGTCTGTTTTCTGCAGGTTTTGCATTATTTTCAATGATGGCTGGAAAACACATGGGCAAAAGATATGAATTTATTATTTCAAGTAGGATAGTATTATAGGTAATATATCAGGCGTGGAAATGGGCCAGCGTAGCTCAGAAATTGCCTTGTTGAGTTATTTTGCTGCATATGTCAGAGTGCAGAGAGGGTAACACATCATGCAAACTGCAGGCAGAAACCACTGATGGAGATTGATGGGAACTTGGTTTCAAAGCATTCTCAAGGGGGTTTTCAAGTCTGGGATAAATATGYGCAATAGGGTTGGTGCTCCAGCAACTGTAGGCTTTGTGGAGAAAAAAAAAATAAAAATAAAAACTAATTTCACTTCTATCAGGGCAGTTACCTGAGGGACCATTTTTTTTAATCTGAGCTTGAATGGATTTGAGGCAATATATTTCCAGAGTTGGTTAGCATTGCGGATGGATACTTTTCTGGGTACCTAGCATCACCCATGGAAAAAGTAAGTTAGGAAAAGCTTTGGTTTAGCTCCTGATCTTTGTGCAGTGTTGRGATGAGCAGAAATTGGTACCCTGACTGACAGGCTTCAAAGGTCAAGGAGGGGAAGATCCTGGAGCTTGAACCTGGTCGTGTTGGTGATAAATGGTTCTTTCAAACCAAGCTTGAGGCAGGGCAGGGGAATGGGCATTTTGCTAAGTTGGTGGACAGGGAGAGGATTTTAGTGTCCCAGGCAGTCAACCTGATATATTTTGTAAGCACTAAAATTTGGTTTACATCTTGAAGAAGAAACAGGTGCATCAGTAGTGTGTGCCACTTCTTTTGGCTATTTCACCACTGATGTCTCGTAAAGCACTTGATGCCCTGCACCATTTCAGCAGTATTTGTATTTTTAGGCCGTTTGTTGTGGGAACACTGTGGCTAATTGAAGACCACGTCACTTTGGCATGCAGAAAGTGCAGCGAATCCACCCAAAACAGCGTCACACAGAAGTAAATGCTCAGTCCAACAGCACTTGGAGTCACGTCCTCRGGACGTGTCTCAGGATGGTGGCCGGGGCTGGCGAGTCACCCCGGGTGGGTTAGGAGAGCACCAGGCTCCCAGGCTGTCCGAGTGCTGCTGCAGACAAATTCCTCCTGGGAAGGCATCTCCGTGTCCAAACTTTCCAGGCTGGTCATATTTTTGATATATGAACATAGCAGATAAGAGCAAAGCTGGCCTCTTTTCGAGATTAACCCATGCTCCAAAGTTTAGATCGGGATCTTGGCCTCTCTGCTGCATGAAGACGTTCTCACCCTGAGTTTTGATATGGAAACTTCTCCGATTTCCTTACTCTTATGTAAATAAATGTGCAGCAGGCATTTCTACATGTGCACATGTGAGCTATGCAAAGAAGCAGGTGGGGTACATATACACAYATATATATATATAAATATATATATATATGTGTGTGTGTGTGTACTGTGGAAGTATCCATACACATCACTGACTCTTAAATCCGGATAGAGCTGTACGTGCTAAACATGGGAACAAAGTTCTGTGATGAATGAATATGGCCTAGCTTGTCCACCCATTTGTGTTGCTCACATCCCACTTAAATCTTCATGGAAAGAGGCAATGACCGCACTAGGCTGCTGTTATTTTCAGTGTCTACGTGGCCAGCACAGATGCAGCTTTACGTAAGCCAGACAAAATTACCTGCCATTATTACCTGAAACACATGGAATCACAGTCTGCATTGCATAATTTTATAGAATTGATTACAGTGCAGGGTTTTTTCCCCTCTAGCCAGAACAGCATTCATTCTGTAGCATTATATGCAAGTAATTATAGCATTTATCTTTTCAGAATATAGTTTTTGTAAGAAAAGAAATTGTAGGAATGGCATTAATCATCACATGCAGCCAAACCATTGTCTTTTCTTCCAAAACATTTTATTTGGGAAATTATTCCACACCTCTGCCCAAGTTTGGTGACTCAGAGCTTAGAGTTTTTCATTTGATTTGTTTTTTCTTCGGTATATGCTGTTTCTGACCCAAGTTCTTCTCTAGCAAATATTGCTGTGAAGAGGTAGGTTTTTAATAGAATTGTTCGCAGCAAATGAGGTTTTGACACTCTTTGAGCGAAGAATGTGTCTTGTGGGGAACTGGCTGACCCTGTGTGAATCTTGATAGCTGCTCAAAAGCAGACCTAAAAATACCCTCTGTCCACTTATTTATTTGTTGTCCCGCATTATGCCTAGCTTGGGTTGGCTCTGTGCCGTGGCTCGAGGGCGATGGCAGGAGATGTGTTAGTAACCCTGACCTCCGTCCACATTCCCAGTCCTCCAGCTTGAAGCAGGACGACTCGGATACTGGTTTTTAAAATGTGAACATACCGGAACAGTTAAGCTTGAAGCTGGAGGAGAAAATCCTGCTTAGGAATTTCTCATCCTTTGCAAAAACTCAAGGCAAGTATGAAAAGGGTCTTTTTCTTCACTTGATCCTCATGTAGTAACAAGCAGCTTAGGCGTTTAAACTTTCCCCATTTCCTAGCAGTTGTTGCTCTGATCCCAAATGCCATAATGTTCCTGTTGACTTGTACTAAGAAATCACTGTGGAATGTAAGTGAAAAGCTCGTTTTAAGTATGGACGAGGAGTATTTCATTTGATACTCCTGCAGCTCCTTAGTGATGATGACTGTACTGAGGACTAACACATGTTCAGTAAGGGAATTTGATGATCGATGAGTGTTTTTTCATCACTGCATATGAAGGTATTTTTTCTCTTTAAAAACATTGATTGCTTGGACAAGAGTCTGTGTCACCCAATTTGTAGCACCCCACGCCATGGTGCTCTGGTTTCTGATCGGTTCCTCTAGGAATTATGGCTGTGCAAATGGGAAAAGCGTAATCTTTTTGATTGCTTTTTCCTCTAAGCCACAAGAATACAGTTCTTTCAGTGTGCCGAGGAAAGGCAGGAGGTCAGGCCAGGGTTTCTCTACAGACGTGATGAGATAAAGGCTACTCTTGCTCCCACTGAAAGGCCAAGCTCCACGCGGGGCTGACGCTTTCCGTCTGGAGGGTGCTGGGGCTGTGAAGTCTTTGTGTTGTCTTCTATATCATTCTCCTTTCCTCTGTATTAGCCTAGCACACATATGAGTAGCTATCCAGGAAATGACTGGATGAGTACATGTCTCCAGGGTTTAGGAGAGGAGCATTAAGGTAGTTTGCCTCCTTGTTCTTCTGTTTCAATCAAATGTGGTGGTAATTTTTGACCATTTCATTGGTTTTGTCAAAGCAGAGTAATAGAGGTTCAGATGGGGCTAATTTTTCCATCCTACCATTGTAAATGTTTGTACTCTTCATCGTGCTCCATGTGGGACCACTAGCTTCCTCGCTGGCAAAGGAGGCTTAAGAGGATTTATATGCTAAAGCTGAGGAGTTCTCTCAAGTCTACCATAGCACCATATGACAGAGCAGCAGGAGATCCAAGAGCCTTGGGGGTTCGTTTTGCTCTCCAATCCCAGACCTGTAGTCTTCAGGCACTGGCAGGAATAAAACCTTCTCTTCTCCCACTGGGCTTCCCTGCAGATCTGAGGACACTGAATTTTCATAAAAGGCTCCTCAGGGAAATGTGTAACATCCCTAGCTATCTCTGCTGAGCAGAGTACTGCCTGGAATAGCATTTGAGGGCCCTGATCTGTGCCCTTTCCTCAGAGCTCGAGTTATATGGGTGTATAGCAAATCTCGCGCTACCTACAGATGGGAGCCTTGTCTTGCCCTTCCTTCCTTCCTTCCTTCCTTGGTCATTGCAGCTATTTCTGTGCTGTCTACTCTGTTGCCACTGGGGAGATACAACCTAGAGACAGTGCTGTTTCTTATGGCAGTCTGGGCTGATGCTTCGTGCAGGATGGTGCTAATGAAGATGGATGGAGAAGTGTTGAGTCTGTACTTACTCATGCTTCCCTTCATGAAGCTGTCTTCTTTTCTCCACAGTTTGTCAAGGGACAAATAACAAGCTGACACAGCTGGGGCATGTGGAGGACCATTTCACCAGCCTGCAGAGGATGTATAACAACTGCGAGGTGGTCCTGAGCAACCTAGAGATTACGTACGTGGAGCACAATCGTGATCTCTCTTTCCTGAAGGTTAGTGGCTTTGGACAGTGTGAATTTGCCTGCTAAAGGAATTCACTTTTGAATGCAAAGAAGTATTTGTGTATAGATTGTGTGTATAAAATTCTGTGTCGAGCAGACATGCTTTCCGAAAGCATAGTTAGATATTTTAAGTTTGAGAAACCACAGATTGCAATTTCAGTATACCTGTCAACTCCAGAATATGCAGGACTTGAAAATAATAAATCATGTTCTTCAAGAAATAACCTCTAATAAACTCTGTTGGCTGTGATGCCAACACAGACATGCTTCTTCCTTTTTGCAAATGCTGTTAGCTGTGTATCCCACAGCCTCACTCCTCAAAAGGCTTAGTCACAATGTTGGTGAGAGCAGATCACCGATTGGGGGGCCACCCACTGATGGCAGATTTTGAAACTCAGAGGTCCTTCCCCTCCAAACTGCAACTTGTCTCTTAACATCATAGCAGCTGACATTTAACAGAGAGACCTTTTAAATGCACTCTTCCTGGTGTGCCTTGTTGTCAGAATACAGGATTTTAAAGAGACTGGAGAGAAGGAAGCATTTATCGCATGATAAGTGTGTATCTGGGGTTAGGAGCTCTTGTACAGTAGATGTGAATAAACGGGCCAGTCTTCTGATTCTGGAGGAGTAATCTCATAATACGACCTTTCMTCGTCAGGGAATAGAGAGAGAGAAAAAAAAGGCATTTAATTGTAGTAGTGAAGAAGAACATCAGGAGAGGAGTGTGGTTTATGGATTATACATGTGATGGAATTGCCATTTCTCCTTCCGAGTGTAATTTGACCAAGAAACTCGTGTCCCTAAGAACACAACAGACCTTCTGAAAAATCACTGTTAGTCTACAGAGAATGGAAGAATATCCTAAGTGGTAGTTTGTGGGTTTTTCACTTACAGAGGCTTTTATAGCAAGCTGAAATGCATACATTACACAGTACTAGGCAAGCATAGTTTGAATTCACCTGTATGCAACAGCAAAATCTCACTTGTCTTCTAACTGTTTATTACTTAAACGAGAAACGGTTACCTGATCTCATCCTCTGCTGGGATCAGCAGATTTGGTAGATTTGGTATTTGAATATAGAAGAAAGAGTGCATGAACCTCAGKCAGGTGGTAGGGCTGGAAGACAACTATGTCAAGAGGAGGAAAGACTGGCTTGCAAAGGGATTAAGCATCTTGTTTCTTCTGTTGTTCCTGCAGACTATACAGGAGGTTGCGGGCTACGTGCTCATTGCACTTAACATGGTGGATGTAATTCCCCTAGAAAATCTTCAGATCATCCGAGGCAATGTGCTTTATGACAACTCTTATGCTCTGGCAGTTTTATCCAACTACCACATGAATAAAACCCAAGGACTCCGTGAACTGCCAATGAGACAGCTATCAGGTGAGAGAGGTGGAGGTAAACTTCAACTGTTAGATTATTGGTAGTGTGATCCTGTTGAAGATCTTCTCCCAAAGATCTTGCTTTAAAAGCAATGATCTGACCACTTGTTTTCCTGCTACCTGGACTTCCTTATAAGGTGTATAAAGTTCCTAATTTTCCATTGGAAATAGGTCCAGAAAATACCAGGCATCAACAGGACATTGAGATTTATTTGAGTGTCCCAAAATGGAATGGAATCTGTCAGCATTCTTGGACGTATCTGCCATGACATGTTATTTTTCATTGTTTTATTCCAGTGCATATACTTCAGTCTTTTCTGTTAAATGCAGTGGGAGTTGCTGCTATGTGAAGGCTGCAGAGCCAGCATCTCGCAGGGTCTCTGGCTAATGAGCTGTGGCCATGCAAGCCAGCTGTATGCATACATGCCCACATGAACCTCTGCTAGAGGTCACAACATCTGTAGCAGAGGAAGSAAAAGAGTTTGTATGTCCAGTCTTCTGCCACCCCAGTTCACCTGCAGCATTTACTCTAGGAAGCACGTCGGTGAGCTGAAGCTGGTGAGCAAAAGGTCCCTTCTGCCATCTCTGCAGAAGGCAATGGCCTCAGGATGTGGTGCCAGAGAAAAACAGATTTAGTGGCATCCTGCAGTGATCAGTTCTCCAGAGATGATTTGTCTGAGTCTAGTGTTTTATTTCTCTTTCTATAAATGAGAGAAAAGACTTGCTCAGTTTGCTTTGCTTATTATTTTCCTTTCCTTCCACCACAGAAATTCTCAATGGAGGTGTTAAAATCAGCAATAACCCCAAATTATGCAACATGGACACTGTCCAGTGGAATGACATCATTGACACAAGCAAAAATCCTCCAACGGTGCTTGATTTTGCAAGGAACCTGTCCTCTTGTAAGTATTAATTTACCAGAATGCTATGTGCTTCAGAGCAGAGTATATGTATATGGGTTCAAAGTTTATGATTCTTGCATACAGGGGTGTCAAGGGATATACTTGCTGTAAGGGATATCATTTTCTTTCTTTACCACTGACAGAAGATGTAATTTTTCATCACTGTTAGGTCCTTACTCATAGTTCAGCCAAATACTTGAGAAAGCTTTTCTTGGTTTCAGAACATCCCTTTTGTTTCTCCCAGGACAGCGACACAACTTAGGAAAATGTGTACCTAATTGTTTTGCAGTAATTATCTACTTACAGGATAAGGCTCTGGGTTAGAAAATCCCTGCAGATACCTTCTTGGAAGTCCCATGGTGCTTATGCTCCCTTTTGTGCTAAGGCCCAAGTTGCTGCCTGCGAGGGCTGTGAAACTCCTGTATTTCAGGCTGCCCAGACAAGCCTTGTGAAAATCATCATCACCGTCAGATAAATATGATGCTTTAGATCCCCAGGGAGATGAGCATGTATTTAAAAGTTTATGTAACATATGTCTGTGCTTAGAGCAGGCTCAAGCTATTACCGCTAGTCCTTTGTAAAATCCCCAGTCATTTCACGGAAAGGAGAGTTTATTTTCATTTCTGTGCTTTTCATTTCTGGCACTGCAAATGGGCGGAAAGCGTATTTTCTTTATCTRCTTCCAGTTGCGTAATTGCCGAGAGCTAATAGTCAACTTCTGTCTTGACATATATTCYGTGAAGCCCTAGTGTAATCAAGGGCTTGCAAGCAAGACAAGTCAGCATAGGAGTCTGGCTCTAAAAACACCATAGAAACGTTAACCTTTAACTTTCAAACTTAAAAAAAATAGGGTTGTTTGGTCCCATACCGATTCAGTCAACTGTTGGACAAGTATTGGCATTTATTCAGCTATTTGAAGGGCGGCRCAGGGGAGGGAGAATCACGTGTGATTAGCAGGAGGAATCACTCTGAAGAGGAAATGCTTCTTAARAGTAGTGAATCAGAGATTAATCTGTTTAGACAGCCGTTTGTGCCTTTGTAATGATCCTGTTAATTAAAATGAGGCTTTACTGGAGATTTTACTTGTCACTGAGAAACAAAAAGAACAAAAAGTAAAAGGCATCGAGCATGCACGAGAGGGAAGAGGAGGGAGGGAGGGATGGGAAAGGACTGATCAGCGAGGGGAGACCCCTGCTCGTCTTTAAAGGTCACGTCGGGTGCTCGTCCTGCTGCGTCTCCATTGATGGCACGATGGGAGCGGGATTTGGGGCTGAGGGTAGGAGGGGGTGCAGAGCAGACCAGTCACGTTACCCTGTGGTCAGGATAACTGCCAGCTGCCCACGAGTCCTGTTTTCTCCGGATTTCAGAGCACCAGCATACAGGTGCTGCCTTCGCTGTTCCACTGAAACTAGCAGCTCAAGGCTTGCTTTCTGACAGCTCTCCTGTAGGTGATGGCATGGTGGTCTGGGGTTTCAAAGAGAAACGCTTCTATAAAAACTCCATTCTCATGTTTTAGGTCCCAAATGCCATCCGAACTGTACAGAGAAGTACTGCTGGGGCCCTGGTGAAGAGAACTGCCAGACACGTAAGTCAACTAAACAGTACCTTGGAAGTGACAAACCAAACCCACGAATTTGCTATTTGCTGTGTAACTTACCTGCCGAGCGAGGAGCAGAGGGACACGCGCTTTCCGTGCGTCCTTTGCTGCCTCCTGCCCCGCGGAGGCTCCTCCGAGTCTGACTCCGTGGCTTGAYGCTCGGCAGCGGGGCTGTGGTGCGGGATGAGAGCGGCGCCGCCGCCTCGGAGCAGCGCCGGGGCAGCCAAGGCCGCAGCCGCTTCCTGCACCGCCCCCTGCAACTTGCCCCGCTCTGAACTGGAGAACATACGTGCTTTAAAGTTGTTTTCCCCTATAGAGAGGTGATGCAGTAGCCACGCGGTGAGTTATTTGCATTGCTGCTGCTTCCAGCAGAGAGYCTCTGCAGGCTGTTTAGCCGTACTTTTGATTGATAATAGCAGTAACAACATAGTTTGGTATTTGTTGGTTTTAATTCCTCTTTTTGGAGTCCCGGTAGGTTTCTGTTAYAACCATGAACTGTCACTATCATATGGCTAATAACACTACGTAGCAGGACCTCGCTGTACTCAGAAGACCTCTTGAAGGCTCTGAGAAAATGAATGRCCATTTTAGTCTCTGTAAACAGAGCCGTTTGGGATTAGGAGATTGTTCAGCTTTGTGGTATGTACTTTACAGTGAAATTTTGCATTTAGGACGYCTGATACTAAGAGAGCGTTCAGAAACGCTTTAGGTTTTGCAGGGCTTTATTTCTCCTTAAAGAATGGTGAAGGAAGAACACCATCTCACATTTTTTGATCCTTCATTATGTTTTTTTCATTTTTAGAATAAGTAGAAAAATAGATTGTTTCTRTTTCGCTTATCCTACCAGTTTTGTGTGAGTGTAACTGCAAAGCTCAGGTGCAAGGCTGCTGATCCACGCTTGCATGAATGCAAGGCCCTCTCTTAGGCTTTTCCTCTGTAAGTAATTATTTAAGCCTGTAGGTTTTATACAATTTCCAGATTTTAAGGAAAAAAAGCAATGCATCTCCTCTCCCTCTCCCTTTATTCCAAGCTTGGGTTTGTCCCTGCGAGCTCTGCAGATTCATTCAACAGCAGCCGCGCGCGCAGGGCTCCCCTCGGGGTGGACGCTGGCTTCACACACCAGCTCCTCCTGGGTCCATCCCCAGGCTGACAGGGCACAGCCGTCCCGTGGGCTGCAGARCTTCAGCCTCCATCCCATGCTCAGGCCCGTCAGCATTTACAAACTTTCTCTGCCTTCAAGAGGAGTATTTGGAGCTCCTAAAACAAAACCACTTGCCAGCGCTGGCTCTCCTCTTAAAACATTTAAGGATTCGGCCAACTGCAAATGTATCCCACATTTCCATATGTGGGAAAGTTTGATGTGATATGTATCTCTTTCTCCTTGAAAGAACGTGGGATTTTCTGTATGAAATGTAAACATTTTCCGTGATATATGTTTCCAGCAGGAAGCTTTAGTCAGTTGCTATCAAAGTGATGAGCTGTTTTACTCCCCTGCTGATGCTTATGAAAAAATGGTATCAAAATGCTGTTCATGTAGAACAATGTGCCTTTTATTCCCTTGTTTCTGGTTCAACGGAGGAGTTGTTATCAGAGAGGCTAATGCACATTGTGGAGATAATCTGTTTCCTTGAAAATGCACTGTCTTGCTTACCGACCTACCAGAAAAATGAAACAATACAGCTTGGATACAAACGTGTGTAATGGAAAATGATAGGAAGTGCTTTTTCCTTTTTCTTTTTTTTTCTAAGAGAACTTTTTTAAGAGCTCTATTTCTTTTTTTTTCTTTTCTTTTTTTTTTTTTTTAACAGGTTACATTTTCTGTTAATTAAAAACCATCTGTTTCTGACTTGGAGGAATTCTTGATGATATTGTAACCCGTTTGTGCCCAACCGGGGGGCTGACAGCAGCTATCCCAAGGCACATCCAGAGTGCTCGGGGTCCTGTAATGCAGCCACTGAGCAACCCAGTTCCCCTGACTGAGTRTGCGGGCACCGATCATCAGAGCTTGTGGGACAGTCATTTTTCTGTTGAGTACACACAGTCTGACCTTGGCCTGTGGTACAAACACATGCTAGCCATTAATTTTTGTCCTTTTTTTTTTT